CCCCATCCTCCCTGGCCTTCCCCAATCACCCCCATCTTCCCTGGCCTAGCCTGGCTGAGCTGTCATGTCTCTAGGGTTCCCTGACTCCCACCTCTAGCTCCAGGGGCAGGGAGAGGCCCACGAATCAGCTTTTTCCATGAGGGACTCACTCAGCATCTGGTCATTGATTCCACAGCCATCTCCTGAGCCCCTACTGCGTGCCCAGCTCTGGGGCTGGAGAATCCCAGAGCTGGGATTTATTCAGACCTTTCTGTACCCCTGGGGATGGTGCAGCAGTGAGATAAGCTGCCCACCCAGTACCACCAATCAGACCTGCCATACATAACGTTTAACCCCCACTTGCCCAGTGTACCTGCATCCTCATTGTTGCCCACACTCCCTGCCATTGCTGTCACTTCCCCCAGCCACAAAGACCACTCTGGACTTGGCTCCTGACCCAGCTGCAGCCCAGAGTCAGCTCTGGCACTTTCCACATCAGCATTTCTTTCCTGACCCTCCAGCCAGGCAGCCTTCATCCCTGGCTGTGCATCGGGCCTGGGTGGATCAGTCTGGCCAACTGTCAGCCTCCCCACCAGCCTGAAGTTGGCAAAGCCTGGCCTGTGGTCTGCTCCCCGCCAGCTGTCCAACACCCAGCATTGACCTGACGTGTAGTTGGCACTCAGAGGATATCTGCTGTGTGCCTGACCAAGAAAACAAGCAAATACAAGAACATACCCACAGAGGAGGGTGTTGAGTGCCAAAAATGGGGTCTGCGGGTGGGCACTGCCAAGGCAGGAGAGCTCACTTAGGGTGAGAGATGAGAAAACGCTTCCTGGAGGACCAGTCACGTAAGTTGGGCCTGGAGTGAGAGAAGCAAGAAGGTGTTCGGGTGGAGAGCAGGGTGGGCAGGAGGAGAGAGGCTATGTGTCCAGAGCACACGAGGGAAGCAGTGGGGTCGGTGTCTGGGCCACCTCAGCCCTGGCCACAACAGTGAATTAGGAAGATCACTCTGGGATTCCTTGCCAGGCAGGACCAGCTGGAGAAACAGGGTGGGGACAGGAGGCGGGAGCTGCATTTGGGCAATCCCAGCCCTGCCCTCCCCCCGCCAGGCTGATAAGGACTGCCAGGAAACAACCTTCTGGGCCAGGTGAGCAAGGCTACCTGAGAGGAAATTCAGGAGGGGCTGTGGGACTCAGTTTCTGTGTAATTACAGATGTCTTATGGGCCCAGCACTCAGGAGAGAGCTGGTGGCTGTTGAGCCACAGTGAGAATGATACTGGTGCTGTAGTCCCTGAGACTCCAGCTCTGCACAACTTCCTGTGATGATGGAAAGGTTCTACCCTGTGCTGTCCAATGTGTAGGCACCAATGCCACGTGGGTACCAAGCACTTGGCAGGGGGCTACAGCAACTGAGAAACTGAATGTTTAAGTTTTATTTGAATCTAACTGGCCACATGAGGCTAATGGCTACCATATTGAACCATGCTGCTCTGAACACAGCTGCAGCCTGGTAATGATGCCCCATCCCAGCTGCTTCATGGGGCTGAAGCCAGACTTGTCCCCGAGAGGGTCAGAGAGAGGAGCAGTAGCCAACAGAGGGCTCTGACCCAGGTCCTGCCCTCAAGGAGCTCTAAGATGAATGTACAAAGGAGGGCAACAAAGCCAGTAACAGCAACGATAACAGCTGCCAGGGCCGATCACTCGCCAAGTGCCAGGCACGTGCCACATCCTTTGCACACCCTGCCTTTATAACCATGCAAAAGGTCTGATTTCGCCCTAATGGGACTCTGGGAAGATCTTTTAAGATGAGATAAAGAACAGGCATACAGAGGTATCCAAGACCTCTAGTGTTCTTTGAACTCTACCTTAACATTCTCTCTCCAGCCCCATTTAATGCCGAGGTTGCGATGGCTTTGACCAATGTCCTGTGGCCAGTGCCAGGCTGTCCTGCTGCCTCAGGTTCTACCTGTCAGCAACTGGAAGATCAACCAGCCTCACACGCAGCAATCAACCAATGTCATTCTGAGTAAAAGCCCCCAGATCTCAGACATTTCCAGCCCAGCCCAAATACAGAGGCCATGCGGTCAACTTAGTCAGAGTCCCGCTCCCACCATGCTGACGCAGCAGAGGAGCTCAGGCCTTTGGTATGTGCCTAGGGGACTACCAAGACCACCACAAGTGGCTCCATCTCAGACTACACTGTGACATCCACCTAAGCCCCCCTAGGTTTTGTTTGTTTATTTTTGAGATGGAGTTTTGTTCTTGTTGCCCAGGCTGGAGTGCAATGTCGCGATCTCGGCTCACTGCAACCTCCGTCTCCTGGGTTCAAGCCATTCTCCTGTCTCAGCCTCCAGAGCAGCTGAGATTACAGGCGTGCGCCACTGCGGCCAGCAAATTTTGTATTTTTAGTAGAGACAGGGTTTTTTTTGCCATGTTGGCCAGTCTGGTCTCGAACTACTGACCTCAGGTGATCCATCTGCCTCAGCCTCCCAAAGTCTGGGATTATAGGCGTGAGCCACCATGCCCAATCCAAGTCCCCTCTTGTTAAGTGGCAGGCATTTGGATGATGACTTATGTGTCCAGCAAAACCAAAACAGGAAAAGCAAACATATACGGTCAGGCAGAAAAACTGGCTCTATGTTAAAATATGGACCTTACCTCTCAGAGACCAGACAGAAATGCACACAGCACAAACCCCCCATTGCACAGTGGGGATAGAGGGCAACCTCCTGGAGGCGGTTTAATCCACCCGAGAGTGAACGGGCCCTAACAGGAACACTCAGGGCCAACTGTGGACAGCGCAGCAGGGAGCACTCCTGAAGAGACGGTTTAGAGGAGACAAAATCCACCCTTCACAATAAACGTGCCTTAAGGGCTACATGCCCCTGGTCACATGCTGTGCCAGGAAAGGGTTCTGGGGTAACCGTGGGGTCAGTGGCCCCATGGATGCGGCTCTACTCACCAGAAAGAGGCCTAGGCGCCCACCAGTCCCTGAGCTTCCTCCTCTGGCAGGATCTACCCACACTCCCTGGGGTCACCTAGGTGGAGAAGGTTCCCAGCCTAGAAGCAGCCTAGGCGGCCGGTGTGTCCCTAACTGCACGCTCACAAGCACTCACTCCCCAGCCTGGGACACACAGGCCCCTTTGCAGTACCAGCATCTACACAACTGCACTGTGCACACCAAGCACAGGCCGCTCCTGCTGCGGGGCCAAAGGCCTGAAGGCACCGCACCACACCACGCAGCCTCGCCCAGCACAGCTCCCTTCCCGCCCCTCCTGCACAAAGCCCACCCGGACTTAGGGAGAAGGGGCCTCAATACGGCCCCGAAACGAGGCTACAGACCTTCTCGGGAGCAAAGGCAGCCACTGCAGGCAGATGGGGCTGAGGGCCGGGATAAGGATGCGGGGCAGGAGGAGCCAAAGGGCAGCGAGGCTGGGGGCGGGGTAGGCGGCGCAGGAGGCTGAGGGAGGGAAGAGGAAGAAGAGGAGAAGGAGGAGCGATGGCAGGAGGGGTGGTGGCCGAAGGAGACAGGGTCCCGGACAGATTCGTGAGAAATGGGAGGATGGGCAGAGGAGACGTAGAAGAGGGGACAGCACAGGACAGGACAATGAGAGGCGGAGCGCCGGGAGTGCGGTGCGGCCACCGGGGGCGCTGGGCAGTGGCCGGGATGTCCGGGGTCTGAGCGCAGGCAGCGGGGAGGAGTGGGTTCTGGGGCTTAGCAAGGGGGAGGTCCGCCCACCACGCCCCCCGCCCCCACGGCGTGCGCGGAGCCGGCCTCTCACCCTCTCGCCCGCCAGGGCTGCGCAGGCCGAGAGAAGCACTGCTCCTGCGGCCGCCACAGGTGCCCGGCGCCGCGGCCCAAGATGGAGCCGGAGCCGACCTGGCCTGGGCCAGAGACGCCGCCCGCCGCCGTCGGCCCGGCCCGCGGAGCCAGCGCCGGGGACAGGGAGGGGCCAGCGGGGCGGCCGGCACCAGGGCGGCGGGAGGGGCGGCGGGCGGAGACCTCGCTCACCTGGGCCCGCCCCGCTCCGGAGCCCGGCCCCGCCCCCGCCCCCGCCCCCGCCCTGCCGCGCCCCGGGACCTGCGCCCGCGCGCCCCCAGCCCTCCTTCCCGACACCTCCTAAGGCCGGGTCCCCACTGCTCTCGATCTTTTCGGCCCCGCCCCCCACCGCGACAGCCTGTTCTCCAGGCTGCCCAGCGAACCCCCAAGACTCCCACCTCCCCGACGCAACCCCACCGTCCCAGGTGTATATGCGCAGCGCCCCACAATCCTCCGGCCCCAGACCCAGCCCCCCAAGTGCACTTCCTCGTAGCCCCGCCCCCTCGCTCCTGTTCCCCTCCCGCACCACGCCCCGTATTGAGGTCTCCGCGCAGGTGGCAACCCTTTTCCAGCAGCATTCGCCATCCTGGCCCCGCCTCTCACAATTCTCTGGCTCCCGACCCCGCCCACGAGACCCCCTTCCTATAGGGCCAGCTCCCCTCGGATACCAGGCCTGGTCTCCACTAGCCTCGGACTTCCAGCCCCAGGTCCCTAATCCTGGACCCACAGTTCCATCCTCTGAGCTCCACCCTCACGGACCCCAAACCTGACTCCAGTCCCTAGAGCTCCATGATCCTGGCCAGGCCCCGGGAGCCCTCCACTGCCACCCAAGACCCAGTCCTGGTAGAGTCCTTCCCCAGGTTTTCGTCTCCAGTCCCGCCCCTCAAGACGGGTAATCCACCACCTCTTTCCCCGCCCACGTGTCCCTACGCAGCCCCGCTTGAGGTCTTCAGTCTCCCAGCCCGTCGCCGCGGACCCCAACAGTGGGCGAGCGCGCAGTGACCGTGGGGGTGAGCCACCTCCACCGGAGCCGGCTTTCTTCCCCGCAATTCCCCGAAACGCCTTCCGGGACTCAGGACACGGGGGCCAGCCCAAGTCCTGGGATCGCCAGGCCCCACCCTACCAGGCTGAGGATCCGGGCGTACAGTTCCCTCAACACCCCCAGTCTCCACAACTGCCGGCCAGCTTTGGGACGCAGGGATAGGCAGCCCGATTTCTTCCACCCACAAGGGATTCCTGCTGTCCACCCAGGGCCACGTGGTATGAGGTGCCTGTACTATCCCTGGGCCCCAGTCTCAGACACTTGGGTCTCAATGTTCACCTTCTTCTGTTGTTCCCTGTCCTGGGACCCTAAACTTGTTTGCCCAGCCCTGTGCTGAGAGGTTTTCACTCCTCCCTTCCAGTGCATTGGAGCCAACACTATCTCTAATTCTCCCTGTTTGGGGAGCAAGTGACCTCAGTCTGCCCAGAGACTCAGACTGCCCCAAGTAGCCCTCTCCAGTGAGGACTGAGAACAGCTCTCAGATTCTGGCAGATAGCTACCTCTGGCCAAATGCCCACGGGGGTGTCCAGGTGAGGTCCCAGCCTCTGGCCTCCCCAGTACACACTGCCTGGTAGGAGATCCTGCTTAAAGGGGACAAATAGGGGATTTGTTTGCCAAGGCCACTACCCACTTCTGCCCCTGTCCGGTAATTAGGAGCCCTCCTTCCACATCTGAGGCACCTTACTCTTATTCCCTTTTTAGTGAAGTAGCCCCAAGAAGGGATGAGCTGCTTGTGGTTACACTGAGAGTTGGTGCCGGATCCAGGCCCTAAACCTGAGGCTTTCAGCTCCCAGGACATTTCAAGAACCAGAAACCTCACTGTGTGTGTTTCAAGGAAGCCTTCTTAGGGTGGGTGTCAGGAGATGTCTGCTATGCAGTCTACCTGCAGACACGGCTGGCTGGCTCGCTCTCACCACCAGGGCGTTGCCTTGGCTTGGCTCCTTGTTCAACTGGCCCCCTTCTTCCATTCATGGCCTGGCAAGGAGGCTCCCCTGGCTGTGGCAGCTGCCTAGGGAGAACCCAGGAAGGGGAGTCAGATCTGAATTCCAATCTCAACTCCCCCACATATTCACTGGCTCTGCAACCCCACACCCAAGCAAAACTGTTCATCTCTCTGGGCATCAGTTTCCTCATCTGCAGACAGGCAGTAATTATACCTACCTAACAGGCTGGGGGAAGAGGGCGGTTGTGAAAGTGTCCTGTGGAGTATCATTGCTGCTATCAGTCACTTGATCAAACATTTACTGAGCTCCTCCTGGGTCAGGTCCTGGAGATACAAGTTCCACTACATGGGGGAAGGAGGGGATAGATATGTGTAGATTGCTTTGGTAGAGAGCAGCTCAGGCCTGAGGACCACATGGACCAAGTGCCATTTGCTCAGACTCTGAACACTGACAAAAGAAGAATGAGCCTGAGGTGCACTCAAGGGTCCAGTTCACACTGGGATGTTTGACGCACCACGTGGACAGGCGGGTTGCACATACAGGACTGGAGTTTTTTGTTTGTTTGTGTTTTTTGAGACGGAATTTCACTCTTGTCACCCAGGCTAAAGTGCAATGGCACAATCTCAGCTTACTGCAACCTCCACCTCCTGGGTTCAAGCAATTCTTCTGCCTCGGCCTCCCGAGCAACTGGGATTACAGGCACCCACCACCATGCCCGTCTAATTTTTGTATTTTCAGTAGAGATAGTGTTTCACGGTGTTAGCCAGCCTGATCTCAAACTCCTGATCTCAGGTGATGGGCCCGCCTCGGCCTCCCAAGGTTCTGGGATTACAGGTGTGATCCACTGCACCCAGCCAAGGACTGGAGTTTTTCAGAAATCTGGGTGTCATGGGCATGGGGTGGTTGCTGAAGTCAAAAGAGTGGATAAGGTCTTCAGGGAAAAAGTAGAGTGAGGAGAGGGCTTAGAACCCACCCATGAGTCACCAAGTGACAAAGGGTGGAGGAGCAGCCAGAAAGGACAGAGAGAAACTGGGACATCGTGGTGACACAGGGCACCTAACAGGCTGGTGCAAGCGCCTTCAGTGAGGGGGCAGAGGCAGAAGCCACTGGTGTGGGTTAGGGGATGAGCTGGAGAAGGGAACCAGAGATGGTGCGTGTGTAGATGCCTCTTATAAACGCGGCCATAAAGGGAAGAAGAAAGGTATCACATGGGAAGGGATGTGGGGTCAAGAGAGTCATTTTTTTAATTCTAATTTTTTGTTTGTTTGCTTGCTTGCTTTAATATGCTGCATCATGTAGTAGGTTTCCTTTATTTCAAACAACAGAAAACAAGTCTGGTTAAGTTCAGCAAAAAAGGGACGGCTGGGCACAATGGCTCAAACCTGTAATCCCAGTACTTTGGGAGGCCAAGGCAGGTGGATCACTTGAGGCCAGGAGTTTGGGACTATCCTGGCCAACATGGTGAAGCCCCGTCTCTACTAAAAA